CGTATTTGCTGCTTTTGTAGGTGATCTGTCATTGTTGTTGCTGTCGGCTTGTTGGCTGTTCACAGAAACAGAGAGTGGGAGAGGGTGAAGTGAAAATAGAGAGAGAGAGAGAGAGAGAGTGGACGTGGAGAATGGAGAGCGACAATTAGATAGCGAATGTTGAATTTATATATTTTGTTAATGAAGTAGCGTGATTCTTATATCGTTGTCTAACTTTTTATTTCTTTTATTTTGTGTTTGTTCAACGCGATAATTTAATTTCTTTTATGTTGATAATGACGGTTGCTGAGAGTCAAACGAACCGTTATATGCGGCGAACAGTGCGCAACTGAACGCCATTCGTACGCCCTCAGTGGTTTTTCTTGGATGGCGACTGCGTCGCCAACAGCGGCAGCGACGTGGACTTCGATGCTGCTGCTTGAATGGCAGGCGCGCATGTGTGTAAACAAGTTGAATGTATCCAAGCGTGTGTGTGTGTGTGTGTCCGAGAGTGTTTTGACGTGTTTACAGTCACATATAGAAATGGTCGTTAGGGCCATATTTACATATATACACCTACATATATACATGTACATACATATCTCTGTGTGTACAAAATACTGCATAAAATATTTGCATTACATAAAATAAAATACTATGTAAATGAATATATAAACATACATACATACATATATATAATGAATTACATTCTGATCGACAGTTGCATATAGCATAATATCTATGTACACCCATTATATGTAAGCTTATTAGAATTATATTTATTTATGACTTCAGTAGATATCAATATGTGATAGCTAATCTGATCGGTTGATGCTTAGAGCCAAAAGTAGAGGGAGCCATTAAATTCATGTCATTTGATATATTCTCTAAATAAGTTATCGCATTTCACATATATGTACATACATATACATACACATATATATTTACATATTTATATTATTGCCGCCTGGTACGCTCATATTATGCCTTTTTTTTTTTACATTAACAAATTTTTTGGCAGATGCAACACTTTTCCTATGAAATTGAGCTGAAAGATTTGCTGTTTAAATTGCAATGGCTATAGCAAATGACCCTGGATAAAGTGAAAGTATTTGCCGATTGGCTCAAACAAAGAACCAGAAATACTTAAGGGCAATCATATAAAAATATATAAGAATGTATGCCTGTGTTAGTGATTGTAGCACTAGCCTAGTTCCAGTTGCAATTCCAGTTTGAGTTCCAGTTGGGAGTTCCTGCTCAGCACAAAAAAAAACTGGTTTCATGCTGTGAGCATGAGAGGGCACAGAAAATGGCATTTACATAAATTCGCCTAAGAATTGTCGAAAAGCAAGTTGATTTTGTATATACAACTATTGTCGTTTTAGTTATTGTAGCCACGACGTTGACGTCGCCGCTGCCGCCGCCAATAGCGACTGCATTACACGTTGGCAATAAACCGCAAAAGTCACCCACACACTTAAAGACCGTGCGCGCTGAGCACGCACACACCCTCACAGACACATGTACGTGTGTTTCGATAAGATGTTTTGTTTATACTGAGGACCGGGGCGAGCCCGCTCGCTCTTTAATTTTTTGTTTCGCCAGACTTCCCTCTGATAGCTAGGGCAATTTCCTTATCAAAATTTAACTGAATTGAACTTACCATTTCGGAAATGTGTGTGCCTATGCTGTTGCGCATTGAAGTTACTATTGAGACCCATATTTTTCTTTAGCCAAATGCAAAAAAAAGAACAAATTGGCATACGTTATGCACACACTTATTTACTGATTTCACTGGCCACTTGTTTTTAGCGGAACATTTTGTTGTTATTATTATTATTCGTATGTGTTGCGCGGCAGGCAGTTCCTCAACATGTCAAACTGTTGGGTAATTGAAAATAAATGGCATGCGTAAATAAATGAAAACTTAAAATATATAACGCGAACACTTCGGCCATTAGCCCAAACCGAATCCAATTGGCAAATCGATATTTGAGATGTGCGATAACTATCGCTGACTTATCGCAAGTGCGACACCAATTGCCTGTTCATACGATATCCTGTTGTTAATCATGATATCGCTAGATTGTAAACTATGATAACTGTGTATACGAGAGTGGTCTGAAAAATAGCAGATTTTGAAGTACAAATACAATGAAAGCTAAGTTTATTTATATTTGTAACATTCGCTTCTCATTGCGTTTCTACTTTTGAATATGTTGGCCACACATACACAAAGATTTAAATTCCCAGTTAGCTTTGGCACATAGAAAAATACTTTTTGGTATTTATCAGCATGTTGCCAAAAGTATTCGATTCAGAACTTCGTGCTAATTATATGCGAGCATCATATCAGTCTCATGCATATGCGTATGATAAATGCAAATTAACATCTGTTTGGGCTTTTTAAATATATTTACATTAAATGTTAAAAACTAAATAAAGCATTTTTCTGTTTTTTCTTCAATACATGTAAATACTATATCTGAAGTTTTCAATGTATGTTCATGAATGTATATGTATGTGTAGGCGCTATATTGATGGAAGTATTCTGCGTCTGCTTTTGGGGGCGTCGCCTTTGTAGGGGTGGAGGCGTGGCTGTGAGGCAATTAGAAAACTACACGTACGTTAATTTTAAAGCAAAAATAAAGAAGTAACATTAAATACAATTACATATCAACATACACACAAAAAGATAAACATAAGCAGCTCAAATCAAATTCATTTATGTTAAAATATATATATACATATGTATATATATAAACTGTCTAATTGGACTCGGCATCCAATTGGATAAGCGTCTCATTCGTCTGTTCTTTCTCTTTGGGCGGCGGCGCCGGCATGGGTATTGCAATGGGACTCATCGTGCTGATCATTCGCGGCTCAGCATGCGCCGTTGTAATCGGTTGCAATTGTTGAGCTGCAGGCTTGACGAAATCCGGCTGGGGTGCTGCACCAGCACCAGCTCCAGATGGATGGCCATGACTGTGGCCGTGACTGTGACCATGATTATGGCCATGACTGTGGCTATGTTGCTTGTGTTGCTGTTGATGCTGGTGGTGATGTTGATGCTGATGCTGATGATGTTGGTTATGCTGGTGCTGATGCTGCTGCAGCTGCTGTTGTTGAGGAAAGGATTTGGGCAGCTGCGTGTGACGCGTGGAGTCCGTTGCCTTAAGTCGCTCACTCAATGCCTTCAGAGCGATTTGTCTAGATATAAAAGATATGTATATAGATAGAAATATTAGACAAAAATTATATTCCATTAGCTTACCGCCTGCGCTCAATATCATGCGGATCCACTCCAGGCATTTGCACCGATATGGAAGTCAAGCTTGCTGTTGAGATCGTACGCAACGGCGAGGGCGTCTTCACAACGCCAGCGCGCAAACAGCAATTGTATATGGGATTCACTAGGAGGCTGATGAAGGGTTGTGTCACATTAGGAAAGAAGCTGACGAAGGTGAAGCTCTCCGAGCTGTCGCCACGTCCATTTGGATGATGCTGATAGAAGCGCAAATAAATCCAAGAGACAATAGCACCAGAGGCAAACATGGCTGGGTATGTGCCATCCAGCATGCCAATCGCCCAACAAATGATGGCCAAGATGAGCACAGTCAAAGGAACGTTGCTGTAGCCGCAGAAAAAATAACAGATTAAATATTAAATTGAGATCATTTAGTGACTTTCGAAACCTCACCGATTAGTGAGTCGTCCGTAGCGTGTCTTGAAGATGAGATGATCCGGCATTATTTGCCGTACAGCCACACAGATGCCAGCCACATAACCAGCCAAGCCGTGAATATGTACATCGAATAATATTGTTGGATTCTTCGTAACCATATAGTAGAATAGATAATAGATCGTCGTTACGAGCGAAACGCCGAAATTGCTTAGTGCAAAGAATTTGAACATTTCGAATTGACCCCAGAGCGGCTCCAACATTTTACCGCACAGTCCCACTGTCACCACATCCACTATCACCTCCCACCAGTGTAGCTCGATGAAACAAAAGGTGAAGGCGGTCCATATCCAAAATTTACCGTTGGGCAATATATAGCCAGGCGTTACGCTTAGCAGCAATACTGCTGTTTCCGAATAGGATAACAGATAGCCCACTGTTGTCACTAAACAGATCAATGTTATCACTGGCGACGTATTGTGCAGCAGAGCAGTTAGCTGCTGTTTTAAATACGGTACATTTCGTGTGAGTGGAGCTGACATGGCAACTCAAATTCAGATTTCGATTGCCCGCAGATGATGTTGTTGTTTCTCCTCTTGGTTTTGTTGTTGCTGTTGTCGTCGTCGTGTTTGGCTTGTTTTGCGCACAGCTTGGTCGTTGCACGTTTTGCTGTTCGCTTTGTATATTCGCATTAGTAGATTTATTGTGTGCGTTTATGTTGTTTAAACTGTGTGTCGAATTGCTTATTTTTATTTATGATTATTTTTCCATTTTAGCACTACAAAGTGAGACCAGATTCTCTTAAGCCAAAAATCCCTCATATTGATGCTGGCAACCGATTATCGTCGTATCGAAGCTATCGATCCAACCATTGCAAAATTTTTTTTAATATTTAGTTGAGCTTTAAAATTTTTAGGTTTAATAAAATCCGTATATTAAAAATGTTGAACTGCTTGAGCCATCAATACCTATGACAGCGAAAACGAAAACTTCCCAAATACAATTTTAAATATTAAAATATCGATAGCATTGTATTTTAAGAGAGTGGTAAACTTGTAAAGTTGAAAATTGAATAACTAAATCTTTAAATAAAGTTATACTTACACAGCTACATGGCGTTTAAAAGCATAACATTATGCGAGAGCAACTGCAAAGTTACAGTTAGGAGTGCGGCTAGTCTAAAGTCCCAGATTTGAGAAACCAATAAAAAATACATTTGTTGAATTAAAAAGTTTATCTAATTTACGATTTATTATTATGACAATTTGTATGCATGATTCTCAATGTGTGATTTTTAATGTTCGTTTCATGTACTCATTATCATCGTGTGTTGTAATAATTTCACGTGTAATAGATGATGGTCTATAAATTTATATTACACATTCAGTTAAAAAACAACAGATTGCATTGAAATTCAATCAATTCGGTGAAATATTGAACTTAAGCAATAAAGTCTCACATTTTCAGTTATCTCTGGTACAAACTAATAAAACTATTCAAACTAAAGTTCTTGTCGCATTAAACACAAACATAATTTTTTGTCAGCAACAAAAGACCCTCAAATCGTGGATGTTTTTCTTTTCTTGAAACCACACGAGGACGATGATGTTAGTTCACTTAACTTGGTAGACGCGAGGCGGGTGGCGGGAATCGCAGCGAGCTGACATGTGAGAAGTATATGATGAAGTATTTGTTTGCTGTTATTGTTTTGGGTTTTAATTTCTATTTCGTTTGTAATTAAAATCCGCTGCTTAGAACAGCAGCGTGCCCATGCCACCCATTTCGGATTGTTCTTTAACGAAAATCTCAAAGTATTGGTAGATGATCGTCACAGCCAGCAGGATACCCGTACCGGAGCCAATGGCGCCCAGGAAATCAGCCATAACGGACAAAGCGCCAATGCAAAGACCACCAAAAGCGGCAGCCGTTGGAATATAACGATTCAGTTCATGAATCATGGAGTTCTCACGATGACCGCGCATGACCATGTGCTGCTCCTTCAGCTGCTTGGCAACCTATTAAAGCAAATAATAATAGTTAATTAAATACAAACTAAATTTAATTCCTGCAAAACTTACATCCTTGGCTGAGCTGCCAGATACATCGATCCATGTCTTGGAGAAGAACGCACAGGAGCCCAACATGAAGACAATGTAGAGCAGAGCATGGATCGGATCGGTGAGTATGTGGCCCACACTCTCTGGTGGAGACAGATAGTAGCACAGGCCGCCAATGGGATAGGAACGAGCTGGGCCGCCGCCGCCAACATCGGCCCAGACACCCAGCAAGTTGATGAAGAAGTTGCCTTGGAATTTGACGGCCAACATCTGGGAGATGACATACAAGTTGGAGACCAGAGCCGACTGCAGAATGATGGGAATGTTTGAAGTGTAGAACAACTTGATCGGGTAGCTGCTGTATTGTCCGCGATAGCGAGCGCTCTTGATGGGCAGATCCACGCGGAAGCCTTGGAAGTAGATGACCACAGCAAACACCAAAATGGTGGCCAACAGATTCATCAGATTGGGCAAATTCTGACGATAGAATGCCTCGCGTAGAGCGCGCACTTTATCGTTGCGTGTCGCCATCAGGTGGAAGAGGGCAATCACAGCGCCCTCGAATTCGGTGCCGCGTCCCGTTGTCACAGTGGTGGGCGAGAATGCCTTCCACACGATCGTCTCACAGATGTTCGTGGCAATGAACAGCGAAATACCAGAGCCCAGGCCATAGCCCTTCTGCAACAGTTCATCGAGCAGCAGGACAATCAGACCGGCAGCAAACAGCTGGATGATGATCAGCAGACAAACGCCGGCGCCAATTTCCGATGGATCACCGTACATGCCGGTCATCACATAGACGATGGCCTGGCCAATGGTGATGACCATGCCGAACAGTTTCTGTGCGCCGTTGAAGAGAGCACGATCCTTGGGCGTATCACCGACTTCGATGATCTTGGCGCCAGCCAAGAGCTGCATAATCAGACCGGATGTCACGATGGGCGAAATGCCCAGCTCCATGAGCGTGCCACGATTCGAGGCAAGTATCACACGTATCCAGTAGAAGGGATCCGCTGAATCGGAGCTCATGATGCCGAACAACGGGATTTGACAGCACACCAGGAAAATGAACAATGTGATAGCTGTCCATAGTACTTTCTCTCTGAATTGAATCTGCAATAAAAATATTTGCAAAATTTAATTTAATTTGAAAATAGTTATTCTTTAAGCAAAATAATATTTAAATAATTAATATATGTATTAGCTTTCTGTACATAATTTTATATTTATATTACTAACATTTATATTTTTGAATGAACATTTCTTACAATAATTTAATTTTAATTTTTCTATAAACATTGCAGCAGCATACCAAGCCCTTCATTGACGCCCATCGTACACAACTACCGCTACTCCGACCTACATGTGTGTACGTGTGGTAATGCTCAAACAACAACAAAAAATCAAGTTTTGCTTATCGTTGCTCATCATATGGTCGAGTCAACACAACAATACACACGAAGCTGACGTAGCACAGCGTCGTGCGGCTGCTTCGTACGAGCCGAAGTTTGACGTTTCCACGTCGTATGCGGTATTGCACTGTTGTGTCAAAATCGTGTAAAATAGTAGTAGGGCAACAAGTAGTCAACAAATTGTACCTCACTCTGATAACGATAGTAGTAGCTTATTTCAGTGGTTTTATGAATGAAAAACTGATTTAAATTACCAAATCTAAATATAAACGAACTCTATATAGTTAAAGACAGCTTGACTAATGCACTTGTGTAGCTTTTTCACAAATACTTAACACTTTATAAGGAAATATACTTTTTAATTTCGACCCCAAATTATTATTCACACGAAAGGGAGTATCATGTATTTCCGTTCATTGGCATCAGTATTAATTATAATAAATATATCAACAACTTGTGCGCTTCCGAATGTCTACTACTAAATCAGAAATTGTTTGCGTGGCGCATTCAACTGACAAGTGAAAGCAAACTAAAAAAACGCGTGCGCTGGCAACACTGACGCACTACAAATCAAATACGATATGAAAACGCAAATTAAACACCGAAACACCAAAAAAGTTAATTACAAATCACACTTCTTGCCACGTTAATATAACAGTTTAAAAAATAGAAATACATATATGTAATTATACATACCTTGCGCTCTGGCTTTGCAATTTCTGGCAGTATACTGCAGAAGGGCTTGATAACTTCTAGGAATTTGACTGCAAATGGGTGAATGAAAACAATTAATTTGGTTAGCTTTGCTTGAAACGTATTATTGTGTTTTATAGCTCGCACTTTGCACAGTTAGCTGCGGTGGTACATCAATTATCAAAATTCACATTTTTTTGTATACGTAAGCAAGTACGGGGGTGTTGCCGAAGCGGCCGCAGCTTATTGGCAAGGTGAGCGGTATTTTTATGTAGCTTTTGCACCTATATTTATTGGCGTTGTACTTACTTCCCATTGTGTTTGACTTAATGTAACGTACGGCAGGGAACTAAACTTATGATTTGTATTTCTGCACTTTCTACACAAAATTTAGAAAGTTTCAGTTCTATTGGGGGACACTCCAACAGAGACAGCGACCGCTTCAACTGACGAAAACCGAATGAACGATGCTAGCGAAAACGAAAATAACCGAAGCAGGCACGACGTGTCATTTGCACATTATATTGACGTTTCTTAACATTGTTAATATCGATATATCGATTACTTTGACAATCATATAAATTCGAATGCAAACTTATTTAAAATCATAATTCTAAATTAACACCCATTATAGGAGTTCCTAACTATTCATAATGATGTATTCCGCTATCTTTGGTTCGCTTATTGTTTATACAGTCTACTTGTTTACCCAATGCTATGAACACAAATAACGCAAAAATGAGCAAAGAGTGTATGTAAGTCCACAGCAGAGTGATAATATGCTGTTACTGTTATGTAAAATTAATATATGTAAAATAGTCACCACAAACTGTTAAGTTAGCAGCGAAACTGTTGCCACTATTTTCTAAAATATGGCAGCTTTATGGGCCATAGAACTCTACAAAAAGCAAAGCAACCTAGCCTGCGAAAACAAACGCAAAGCAACAATACAAACGCAGGCGAAATCAAATTATAAGACACAGACGTAATATATACTACGTGAAAAACTAGCTGGCAACAATAACAGTTGCGTGTGTTAATCCAAATGTCAAGAAAAACTAGCAAAAAGCGACGGATCAAATAAAAATTGAGTGTTAAGTGTAAATCAGCTATGACTTCGGTTATATATGTGGAATTGAGCTCGGATTCGGAGGATGAGGTAAAAGCGCCAGTGACAGCGCCAACAACGTTCAGCTGGTGTAGAAAAGTACAGTTGTATTTTTAATAGGTTTTGTGCATTGGTGTGCGCGTATTAGTGTTTGCGTGCGTGAGTTTATATTCGTTTCATACATGTGTATGTGCATGTGTGTGAGAATGTGTGTGTATTACAAATTATGTGTACGAATATCATTTTCGCGGTGCTTTTATTGTTGCCCGCACACATATGCATGTGCACACATACACCAACAGCTCGACGCGCACACACATGCACAGAACCAATGCTGCCAATGTTGCCACCTTGGCTGCAGCAACTGCTGCACTTGGAGCTAGCAATTAGAAATGTTAATTGTTCTAACTGAAACCAGTTACCATGCATGTGTGGGTGTATTTATGTGACATTATTGTATAGTTTGCGACGCAATTCGCTTAAACGTGAGCTATGTTAACATTTTGTTTACATGAGCAGCCGAAATAAATGTAACTCTACACTGGATGGGTCGGCGCGCCTCAAAACTCTACACACATTGCCCCACTCACACAGCTGCAGCGGCGTATTTGTTTGTTTTGTTTTTAAATCGAATTTAAAATGCAATACCCAACAGGTCGTTTTTGTTTTCTTTTATTAATGTTCTCATCTCCGTTTCTCTATAGGGGCCACCCGATGTAAAGCGAGCGCGTCGAGAGCTGACAAAGGTGTCTACTTCGAAAACCTTGCCCACGAAGTTATTGCACATACCAAAAGCTTCAATTGTCACGCCAGCCAGTGGAATTAAGGTCACGCCTACTGCAACGGCAGTGACAACGGCGACAGCAGCTGGAACCGTAGTCGGGACATACAGGTATCGAGTAATATTAAAAACATAAAATAATATTTATGTACATGTTCAGCAAGATATAAGTTTGAATCAATGCGCTTACTAAATATCGATAAGATGTTGATTATTGTTCTATAAAAGTATTATCGATAACTGACAAAGTACATCTTACAGGTCCATGCACATACCCAGCGGCATAACGGTAACCAAGCACAACAACAGCAATGGCAATTTCAACATGTCCACTGCCAAAATCACAGTCGAAACTAACAACAATAGTAACAACAACAATAATAATAATAATAATAACATCAACAATAACATGAATTACAAACCATTTAAAGTGGCAAGTGGCACCTGGTCGAAGACAACAGCGGGCACCACCATGGCAACAATTACCAGCGTACCCAGTCCACAGACGCTGACCTCAAAGTCGGCGCAAAGATCCGGCACAGTCCAGCAAAATGCGACGATAAAACATAAGTCAAACCCAACGGCAGCTCCACTAAAAACTGCACTGCATCTACACCAGCAGAATCAGCAACAGAAGGAGCAACAGCAGCAGCATATTCAGCAGCAGCAAAAACAACAGCAGCAGCAAAAACAACAGCAACAGCTTCAGCAGCTGCAGCAGTCAAAGCAAAGGGGAGCAACGCCCATTAAACAACAGCAGCAGCAGCCGTCGATGTCTGCGGCACAAGTGCAACAAAAGCATGGTACGACACCAACAACCACCGTGCAACTGCAACAGCAACATAAGCTGGCAACGGCAATATCTATGCAGCAACAGCAGAAGCAGACTGCATCGATGTTGCAACAGCAGCAGCAGAAATCCGCAGCAATGTTGCAGGTGCAACAACAGCAACTGCAGCAAAAGCCGTCCATTACGATGTCAACGATGCAGATGCAAATGCAACAGCAACAGCAACAAAAGACATCTACACCAAATATATCGACACAAAAGCCAATTTTGCAACAACAGCGACTGTCGAAGCCCCCACTGCAACAGCAACAACAGCCGCAGCAACAGCAGCTGAAAGCACAGCCAGCCAATCAGCAAATACTCTTAACCAAAAAGCTGCCAGCTAAGCAAACGTCAAAGCAAACAGCGCCACAACGTTTGCCCACCTTGCAGAAGATGCCGCTGAACGTGCCCGCCGCCCAACAGAAGCTGCCGCCGCCAGCGCACAGTGCCAACAGCAGCAGCACCACCAACAGCAGCAACGTGCTGCTGCAGAAACAGAAGATGCAGCAGCAACAGCAGCAGCTGGTAGCGCCGCCGCCTGCGCATCATGCGGCGACTCAGCTGGCCAAACTCACGCCAATGCCCGTGTTGAGCAGGCAGAATGTCGTGCTGCCAACACCAGCGTCGATTAATAGTGCAGCGCGCACACTGCCCTACAAAATGAAGGCGACAACAGCAACACCTACGGCTGTAGTGACAACAGCTGCACCAACAGTGACAACAACAGCTCCAACTGCATCTGCAACAGCAGCAGCAACAGCTGCTGCCCTGCGCAACGTTCAACAGTTTACGCCCAGCAGCAATAGCATCACATCAGCTGGCGCCACGCCCCCTTTACGTTTATTAGCAACGCCTCCGCATTGCGCGGCAGCTTTAAATGAGCCGCTGTTGCTCAATTTACCTCCCACGACTAGCATAACGCCGCAGCTGACGCCAACAACAACGCCACCACCAACAGCAACGTCAGCGACAGCTGCTGCTGCTGCTAAGATTACCTTTCCAGGTGCAAGCATTTCACCTGTCCCTAAGCCGGCGACGAAGCGCGTGCAGCCCATCACAGTGCTCAAGAAGTCGGATGAGGAGTGGCGGCGGCACATAGCGCAACAGCAGCTCGAGCAGTGTCACAAGCCAAAAGAGCAGCCCATCGCCACGCCTACAATTGTGCTAGTCGAATCGCCGCCCACTACGCCACCCACCGAGAAGGTGGATAGCAACAGTTCCGCTCCAGCTGCTTCAACAGCAACCTCAACGCCGGCTGCTGCTGCTCCAGCTACAACCCGCCCGCCACTTGTGCCGGAGTATGCGGCATTGCTGCAGCTATGCCGTGAGCTGGACAAGTCGTCGGATATGGAGCGATTGATTGACATAAAGCTGATTAAATACTATTACAGTGTCCACGAAAACTTTGTCCGTTCACGTGGCTTTCGCAAGCAATTGGAACAGACCATGGAGCGCATGCGCAATGAACCAGACATGATTTACGTGCATCTCAAATATGTGGTAGAGGAGCTGAAGGTGCGACGTAAGGCAAAGGCTGTAGAGCTGCCACCTGACGAGCCGGAGGAGAAGCCAACACCAGCAGCAGCACCGGCAGCAACAGCAGCAGCTCCAGTGCCCACGCCAACTGCAACTGAGATTAAAAATACACAGCCGGCTCCTGCTGATCCCGCGACTCCTGCTAGCACCGGCAACAAGCGTACCGATGAGCGTATTAGAAAATTGAATCGCACTCTGCATACCATTACGAAACGTATTAGCGCTTTGGAGGAGGCGGATGTTGATTGGAATGACGATGATGACTCCAGCTATCTGCAGGTGGAGCGGTACAAGAAGCGCGCCTGTCAGATCTATGAGAAAATCTGTGATTTAACCGGTGAAAGCAAGAGCGCCCATCGCCAGATGAAGCAGCCCATAGTATTTAAGGATACGCCATATCCACAATTTAACCGCACACTCTCCGCGTTCGTCAATCGCATGCACGAATTTCCCGATTATCATGACGTTCTCCAGCTGCTGGAGCACTGCAACAAGGATAAGAATCTGGGTTTGGCTACGTTCGAAATGAAGCGCATAGGTAAGAGCAAGCTATTGTTATTGGAATCCATATAATTTATAACGGCTTTTCCAGCTCATGATGCCTTTGTCAAGGTGGGTCGCCTGCTGCAGGCTAGGCGCAAGACTGATCTCTATGAGACCGTGACACATTTCACGGCCAATGCCAAGGATCCAGCTGCCTCGGATGCGACACTGCTGGCCAAGCTGAATGAGAACAACAAAAAGCAAACCAAAATCAGTGACATTTTAGAAAAGTGGGTATCCTTTAAAAGAACTTTCATTGTGTATCCCAACTAACCTCTAACATGACTTGCAGATTTGCTCGTGAGCAGGATCTCACCAGCGAGGAACAGAGGGAGGCGAGGCTAAAGGAAAAACAGCTGCAAGCAGCGGCAGCTGCTGCAGCAGAAACAGCAACAACAGCAGAAACGGAAGCGGCAACAACATCAGCACCTGTTGGAGAGGCAGCCGCGAAGCATGAAGCGGTTCCAAATGTGGACGATGAGAAGCCGTGCACCAGCGCTCAGGCACAGGCGCAGGCAGCCCAACAAATCGACTTAACGAATGGTCTAGAAAGATGCGAGACCGACAGTGACGAGGAGGATGACGAGGACGACGATGAAACGGACGAGGATGTGGATGCCTTTGTTGATAATTTTAAAGCAAACGGCGATATGAGCGATGTTGAATCCGATACGGAGGCAAATGCAGCACCAAAGACATCTGCTGTTGCAGCAACGGCGGCTGCTCCTGTGATAGTTAATAATGTAACGAGAGAAAAGACTGCTGCTACCAATGATAATAATAATGCTGATGATAATGTTGATGAGAGTGCTTCAGCAGAGTCTGCCAAGGCAATGCCCAACGGCAAGCTGAAGGATACGCCTTCTGCTCAGATGCTTAAGGTAATGTCCGTTTCTAGTCTAAATGCAACTGTATCTACAACCAGCAACAATAGCAAAAACGATAGCAAAAGCAACAACAATAATGTTAGCAGCGCAGAGCAGCCGGCGGGGCAGCAGCAGCAGCAGCAGAAGAACCAGCAGCGAGAAAAGGAACAGATCACAGAAATTATCATTTCGGATGAGGAATCATAAATGTTCCTCCGCCTTCATTTCCCATCAACAGCATGTTAGTTTATGTTTTGTTTAGTTAGAATTTATTTATTTATCTCATATTGCGCACAATTTGTTACACTTCCATTTACGATATATTAATTGTTTTCAATTATATTTATAATCTATGTATCATATATATGTATATTTTAATTTAGTTTACATTAATTATTCGCAGCACTTTGTGGATGCTGTTCTCTAACTGTAACTATTTTAGTGCGCAAAAAACGCTTAGATAGTGTATATATGAAATGCAACTACTATTACATTTAAGTGTATGTTTTAAAAAAACACTAATGGCATAAGAAATAAAATGAAAAAATCAAATCACCTACACTTTTTCAGCACTTTTTTCTTACCGTTGTCAACTAATTTAAAATGATTGCACTGCCTGCTCCTTGCTATCGAAGTTATCGGTGTTATCGGCGTTTAGCTTGAAACTTCCTGCGCTTTAACTTTTCGTCGGCAACGCTCCTAGCAGATAGCTAGTTATGGGTGAATTGTCGTGGACGGTTTCCTCGATAATATCGAAATGATCGTATTTATCGAAAATCTTGAATGTAACTTTAAATCCAGCATCCTGCAAATTCTTGGCAAAAACACGACTTTGCTCGATGAAGGTCACGCTCTCGTGCTCTGCGACTATAACATGCGATTGGACGCCAGACCAGAATGGACTATCAGCCGGCCATGGCCATAAAATGGGCGACAGCTCCTTGGCACTGTCAGCATTCAAGCCAAAGATATTATTGGGATTCACAGGATCGAGTTGCCAAAGCTCGCGCAAATCATAAACGCCGGATATAAAGAATAAGACGCCCACTTTCTGGCGGCGCTCCTCCGAAATTAATGATGGAACGTGTAACAATTGAGCAAGGAGGTGGGCACCAGCCGAATGACCTGCAAAACTAATCTCAGTTGCTTTCGTTTCTTCTGCGTAGTTGAAAATCCATAGCACAAATTCGGTAAACTGCTGCAGTAGCTCCGCCAGTGTCACCTGTGGACAATTATTGTAGTCCATGACGGCGACACGATAGCCACGACGCACCAGAGGGCCGACAATCGAACACGAATGTGATTTATCAAGCATCTGCCAATAGCCGCCATGGACGTAAACAAAGAGAGGCGAAGGCTGCTCTGCTGTGCCGGCCTTATAGAAAACATCAACTAGTCGTCTATCATCAGTGCCGCCATAACGCAAATTGTGAACTTTGATGTCAGATTTGGTCGTCAGCTCTTGCGTGTCTGTTTTCGGATGGATGATAAGAGATCACTACGCTAAAACATATAATGAAGCTAAAAATTAGCTTTGCCTTACGCTGAGAGGTGACGCGCAGAAAGTGGTCTTGTACAGCTACATTGGGTTCCGGCTGATCTTGAAATCTAGCTGTGTTATAACTAGGAAAGTATTCACGGATCAAATCAATATTCTTCTCTTGTGGATTATACATGATTGTTATACGACGTTTGTCACTCGACTGAACTACATGGTAAGTAACAAATACTTATTACATACATATGTGTGTATGTAGATGTACAATCAGCGAGACAAACCTGTTCTTTTTTGCAAATGTAAATACTGCGGTTTTGCTCAAAGCTGTATCAGTTCATAGAGCGAAGATATTTAATTTATTCTTGTTAGAAGCTTAAGAGTTTAATGTGCAATTAATAATAATGTTTAAATCATTTTATTATAAATATTTGTAGTATTTTCCCATTTGAATCAGTTTCGTTGGCGCTTCAATACAATTATTCTGATCAGAAGTTCCAATGAAGGGCGAATATTTGAAAAGAACAAGTTCCACTACATTTTAATTGAAACAGCTGGCAGCATTTTACAGCTAGGTGGCAGCACTGTAACTGAAAAGCCAACTCAGCTTCTATTTTGTAAATTTTATTTTGCGTTTGTGACACAATTGAAATTCTTTATTAAAAATGATATGAGAGTGCTTCAGCAGAGTCTGCCAAGGCAATGCCCAACGGCAAGCTGAAGGATACGCCTTCTGCTCAGATGCTTAAGGTAATGTCCGTTTCTAGTCTAAATGCAACTGTATCTACAACCAGCAACAATAGCAAAAACGATAGCAAAAGCAACAACAATAATGTTAGCAGCGCAGAGCAGCCGGCGGGGCAGCAGCAGCAGCAGCAGAAGAACCAGCAGCGAGAAAAGGAACAGATCACAGAAATTATCATTTCGGATGAGGAATCATAAATGTTCCTCCGCCTTCATTTCCCATCAACAGCATGTTAGTTTATGTTTTGTTTAGTTAGAATTTATTTATTTATCTCATATTGCGCACAATTTGTTACACTTCCATTTACGATATATTAATTGTTTTCAATTATATTTATAATCTATGTATCATATATATGTATATTTTAATTTAGTTTACATTAATTATTCGCAGCACTTTGTGGATGCTGTTCTCTAACTGTAACTATTTTAGTGCGCAAAAAACGCTTAGATAGTGTATATATGAAATGCAACTACTATTACATTTAAGTGTATGTTTTAAAAAAACACTAATGGCATAAGAAATAAAATGAAAAAATCAAATCACCTACACTTTTTCAGCACTTTTTTCTTACCGTTGTCAACTAATTTAAAATGATTGCACTGCCTGCTCCTTGCTATCGAAGTTATCGGTGTTATCGGCGTTTAGCTTGAAACTTCCTGCGCTTTAACTTTTCGTCGGCAACGCTCCTAGCAGATAGCTAGTTATGGGTGAATTGTCGTGGACGGTTTCCTCGATAATATCGAAATGATCGTATTTATCGAAAATCTTGAATGTAACTTTAAATCCAGCATCCTGCAAATTCTTGGCAAAAACACGACTTTGCTCGATGAAGGTCACGCTCTCGTGCTCTGCGACTATAACATGCGATTGGACGCCAGACCAGAATGGACTATCAGCCGGCCATGGCCATAAAATGGGCGACAGCTCCTTGGCACTGTCAGCATTCAAGCCAAAGATATTATTGGGATTCACAGGATCGAGTTGCCAAAGCTCGCGCAAATCATAAACGCCGGATATAAAGAATAAGACGCCCACTTTCTGGCGGCGCTCCTCCGAAATTAATGATGGAACGTGTAACAATTGAGCAAGGAGGTGGGCACCAGCCGAATGACCTGCAAAACTAATCTCAGTTGCTTTCGTTTCTTCTGCGTAGTTGAAAATCCATAGCACAAATTCGGTAAACTGCTGCAGTAGCTCCGCCAGTGTCACCTGTGGACAATTATTGTAGTCCATGACGGCGACACGATAGCCACGACGCACCAGAGGGCCGACAATCGAACACGAATGTGATTTATCAAGCATCTGCCAATAGCCGCCATGGACGTAAACAAAGAGAGGCGAAGGCTGCTCTGCTGTGCCGGCCTTATAGAAAACATCAACTAGTCGTCTATCATCAGTGCCGCCATAACGCAAATTGTGAACTTTGATGTCAGATTTGGTCGTCAGCTCTTGCGTGTCTGTTTTCGGATGGATGATAAGAGATCACTACGCTAAAACATATAATGAAGCTAAAAATTAGCTTTGCCTTACGCTGAGAGGTGACGCGCAGAAAGTGGTCTTGTACAGCTACATTGGGTTCCGGCTGATCTTGAAATCTAGCTGTGTTATAACTAGGAAAGTATTCACGGATCAAATCAATATTCTTCTCTTGTGGATTATACATGATTGTTATACGACGTTTGTCACTCGACTGAACTACATGGTAAGTAACAAATACTTATTACATACATATGTGTGTATGTAGATGTACAATCAGCGAGACAAACCTGTTCTTTTTTGCAAATGTAAATACTGCGGTTTTGCTCAAAGCTGTATCAGTTCATAGAGCGAAGATATTTAATTTATTCTTGTTAGAAGCTTAAGAGTTTAATGTGCAATTAATAATAATGTTTAAATCATTTTATTATAAATATTTGTAGTATTTTCCCATTTGAATCAGTTTCGTTGGCGCTTCAATACAATTATTCTGATCAGAAGTTCCAATGAAGGGCGAATATTTGAAAAGAACAAGTTCCACTACATTTTAAGTGAAACAGCTGGCAGCATTTTACGACTAGGTGGCAGCACTGTAACTGAAAAGCCAACTCAGCTTCTAGTTTGTAAATTTTATTCTGCGCTTGTGACAAAATTGAAATTGTTTATTAAAAATGAGTAGAGCCCAACAACAAAACGATGAGGACGTCAACTCGGCGCTCTTCGATGCACGCAACGAGTATTATATCGGCAACTTCATGGGCTCCATAAACTTTGTGCTGCCCGAGCAGGGAACAGCAGGGGCCGAACTCTTGTCATACATGTATTTATCGTATTTGGCCATTGATTCGGGTCGCATCATTGCGTCGGACATCAAAGAGAATACCACGACACCGCTGCTGGCTTTGCGTTTCGTGCACGAAGCATTTGAGCAGCCTTCCCGCATCGAGGAGCTGCTCGAAAAACTCACTGACAAAGTGGCTAGCGATGAGGATGAGACCAACATCTGGCACATTGCAACAGCTATTGTTTACTGTTACGATGGACAGTTCGAGAATGCTCTGAAGATATTGCATGGCTCCAACAATCTTGAATCGATGGCGCTATCTGTCCAGTGTCTGTTGCGCTTGCATCGAGTAGATTTGGCCAAACAGTTGGTGGCCAAAATGCAAGAGATCAGCGACGATGCAACACTCACACAGCTCGCACAAGCATGGGTAGCCTTGGCTCAGGGTACGGAAGTGATGCAGGATGCCTTTCACATCTACCAAGAGTTCTGTGAGAAGTTTATACCAACTCCAGCGCTGCTCAATGGCCAGGCGGTCGTCCACTTGGGCCTGGAACGTTACGAAGAGGCAGAAGCTGTGCTGCGTCAATCGCTGACCAAGAAGCATAACGATTACGATACATTGATCAATATGATGGTACTCTCCCATCTGACGGGTAAATCAACGGAGACGATAACACGTTACTGGGAGCAGTTGCGTCAATTTTATCCGAAGAGTGACTTTATTGTGGATCTGGATAAGAAGTCCGCCGAGTTCGATCGTCTATGCCTGGAGTACGAGCCAAACGGCGAGCAACTGCTGGCTGTCTAAATAAAAACTGATTCCCCAATCCATATTATATTCATTTCTGAAACTTTATATGTATATGCTTTCTTTATATTACAATACAAATCTATTAGATATATATAGCTATGTTTATATTTGTGGAAAAGTCTTCAGTAGGGATGAGACGATCAATTGCAATGTCAATCGATTAGTTGTATAAGTCGGACCCTATTCATGCAATAATTACAATATATAACATCCTAAGTTTTTATCTATTAATGGGGTCTTACGGATGCAATTAATTTATCGCTCCTTTTGCTTCATACATATTTTTCGGCCATCCCCAGTCTTTAGTAACTGTGTGGAGGAAAAAATAATTTAGTAAATTTTTAATAGACCTTTTGGCTTCACTTACTTTTGTTTGAATCCATATTTTTTACGCTCATAGAACAAATCCGTCTTTGAACTGCCCAAATTGACAATCTTGGGACAGCCATCGCGCTGCAAATATTTAAAGTTAGTTATTGACAAGGAAATTCATATTTATTCACAATATACTCACATCCTTCTCTTGAATGGTGCAGGACTTGCAGTAGTAGGCATCGGAGACCCCAGGGCCACCGCATATAACGCAGCGCCCCTGGTACGAACCATAGTTACATTCATCACAGATCCGCACCAAGGTGCAAGGACGCACATAAGAGTCACAGATTACACATTTTCCATCGTCCTTTTCGCAAAGCCGGCCGATAGCTGCACGTGAAACAAACAAACAGAGTCAAATATGTTCACTCAATACAAAAAATAGCTACGTTCTGCGTTACATACCTACGCCGGGCTGTTTTCGACAGAAAATCAAATCGGGATGATGCTTAGCCATATTGAAATAGTTTTATATTTTTAGATATATTCAAGCTTAACAACAAATATACACTTATTTTATCAATGGATGCTTGCAATGCTGTTTGCGGTGTGACCGGGCGCTAGAACTATGACAACAGTTATTTTTGCAGCACGTAAAAACATACTGTTTTTATCAGCTAAAATACTAAAATGCTGTTTTGGTCACACATCAGCAGCTGTTTGTCTTATTTTCTGTATACAACTTTGAGAAAAGTGCATAAGGCAAAATGCAATTCGTTTAAATTGTGTGAATTTGTGTAATAGTACATATTAAAATATTTTATAAAGTGCTAGAAAATGTCACAGGTGACATCGACCACTACACAGAGTGCCGCTGCCGTTCAAGCGGGCAGCAGGCGTTTGCAAAACAACGATGCAGGCGTTTGCGTGGGTGTCGGTGGTGTTGGCTATGGCGAAACTGAATGGGAGGCACGCGAGGTAAGATGAGTATAAAATAATGCAAATCATAAATATAAAAATGTGGTTAACAGTCGCAGCGCCAGCGAGAGCTGCACGAAGCGCGCGCCAGAGCTGCACAGATGGAAAA